AAGCAGCCACATGTTGAGTTTGTTTAATTTGCAACGAACAATCCTCAGGTTCGAAAAAAGTGTGATACTGGATTAGCCCTTGAATATTCATGCCTGTGCCTTACATAGGGCGCAGCAAGTGATATTCGTACCTGACAATGTTCGGTCAGCCTAAGGTAATTTGAATACCGACGGTTGAACAATTCACGGAGTACCCTCAGCTAATCACAGGAGTACTTGACCCAGACAAGTGTGAGTAATAAATGACAAGGAAAGGGGAGGTGCAGAGTGTTCACCGGGCTAGTAATACCGAACGGCAACTATAACAGCAACAGATGGTAGTGGTAATGGTAACTATAACATGGGTAAACGTATTAAAAGTAGAGTAAAACTACACTGGTTGTATTCGCAGTTTCTATATGACTGAGAATAGAAGTGGAGATTGGACATTCTCTTGCAGGGGTGCGACGACACAGTTCCAGTCGAAATGCTGGGTCACGCATTGCCACGAACTGCTACTCTTGCTAAATTATGATAAGTTTGACGACAGATACACTGAAGAACGAGGTAGTGGTGTTGAGATTCTATCTGGCAATTCGGCTGGTTGCGTATATGACTGTAAATAGCAATGAACTACTAGTTAATGTCAACGACGGCAAAACAGATTAACAATATTGAAATGAATGTGCGTAGATGTGGAAGCTCAATAAACGTGCTTGTGTGTGTATCAAAAACGATTAAGACAGCTAGTTGAACAAAACCGCTACTTACCTTGATATGAATCGGCTGGAAAAGACTAAGAACCGAACTGTTCGAAGGATATGGTCTATTCAGTCTAGATGCTTGGTGATTAGAGATCTGTGGCAGTGGTTGCTCGTTCGTGAGGCTTAGTAACCCCGGTTACACATATGGGCATGTGTAGGCACAAGAACTGGATGAATGATCTGTTCTGAAACGACTACTGGCACCTGACCATTCAAGAACAGGAATGTTGCTAGAATCTTGTGGAGAAAGCTTACATAAGCCAGTAGTTGAAGAATCCTATATGTCCTCAACTAAACAGAACTGTATAAATGCTTTAGTATAGTGCTTACCTCAGTTAGGATGTGCAGGTCGTGGTCTGGCTGGACTTGAGTCCAGTAGCAACAAGGGCTTTGGCATGGGGACTTTTGGCGAGAGCGCAGGCGCACGACACCAAACATAAGGACGATACCAAAAAGCGAAAGATCCAAAGCTAGAGCCGGAACTGTTTTGCTTTTTTGGTTTCGCAGGGATTTGTTATACAGTGCCAGTTTTCCGTAGCACTCGGAACACAACAACAAAAAATGCAGACCAGCAAATATCTTGTGTATCAGGGGGGATTTAGGTACCTGTATGATGCTGTATACACGTGGGCATGTACATACGTACCACGGCGGCGAGGAGCAAGGACGAATGTGTCGGCGCTGATGCACCAAAGCGTTGCCAAAGATTTGGGTGTTGCGGAACTGCAGGCGAACGACAAGATATGAACGTAGCCAATTGAATATACTTGAATCAACCGAAGCCAGCGTAGCAATTAATAATGTATGGATGCAAGGTGTACCAATTCTGTACAGGATTCGTGCAGGGTTGTATATCGTACACAAACTTGTTGCGATTTTGCAGGCTGTTTTCTTGTTGTAGACGTGGAGCTGCACAGTTGTTGCGGTTTCACAGCAACTGGTTAATGGTGGGCGAGGCTGGCATGGCCAGAGGCCTGTGTTTCCGAAGATTTGCACCTGTGTCTCTGCAACCAGTTATTCATGTCTTGGTATATCGGCGCAAGTAGCTTTTTATATGTTCATCTAAGTATATGTTTGTATATGCGTATGTATGAGCGCAAGTAAGTAAGTATGTATGTGTGTATGCCAGTGTATGCACAGTATTATGTACAGATGTGTGTATAGATGTATTACATACTCATGTATGTGCATTCATGCCTGCATGCCTGCATGCAGGCATGCAGGCATGCAAGCATGCAAGCACGCGAGCACGCAATCATGCAAGCATGCAACCATGCAAGCATGGATGGATGGATGGATGGATGGATGGATGGATGGATGGATGTACATGTGTGCATACCTGTCCTGTGACAGCCAAAAGCCACTTCTTGGGTCTTGCTAGGGGCAACCTGTTCGACAGCAGTTTTGTGAGTGCCATACAGTCTGGACAAGGAGCAACGTGACTTTCAAGTAAATTCAGCTTCACAGATTCCCGAGCTGCAGCAAGGCATCCTCAGCTCCTGAAAAGCCTGCGCCCTGAATTTGCTGAAGAGCTCTTGCAATTGCGAAGCGAGATTTTGGCTTTGCTGACGGCGGTTGGATGTTGTGACTCTCGATTGCTCTCACCATGGGCGAATGCCGTTAGGCCTGCTGTCCGCGAACTCACCGCTGAAGAGGAGGCAACGTGTCAGGTTGTTGCATCTCGCGTGAGTGATTTACCGTACTGTCAAGGTCGCGCAAAGACGTGCAGCTGCTGGCTCAGATGCTTGTGTACAACAGCATGCAGCGTTGTTTAGGCTTGTTTAGGTCATGCACTACTAGCCTACTAGCCGCATCTGCATGTTGCACAGATACTCCTTGCTGGTGCACATGTGATGAATGCAGTCTTCCATTCCTGGAAAGTGCAAAATTGAGACTTGGGGACCTGGGTTTTGTCGTTTACCTCTCAAGCAGCCCTAGAGTCTTTCAGGAGGCTCAGAAGCGGCGTGAGCGAAGTTACAACGTGGCAGCCAAGTGGGCCAGACACCTACCTGGTTCCTGCGATGACGGGCAGATCGTTTCAGCTCTTCGTTTTCCGGGTGCATGTTGAACAAGGGTTCGGAATGTAGTCAAAATGTCGGGTGGTAATGCTCAGCAGATGATGTGCTTAAGTGTACTGCTGCTCTCAAACTGTGTCGATGAAAACTATTTTGGTCAGCACGATTTTCTCTCATAATCTTCCGAATGCAGTTTGTATCCATGTTTCGAAGGCGCAGTCGCAGAAAGACAGCGAGCTCATCCCACTTGGTGAGGCGCCAGTGGCATGTTGGTGACAGCGAGGTCTTTGAAGGTATTAAAACACCTGTCGAGCACGGGCCACGACGCAAGCACGGCGATTACGATGGGTTGAGGCACAATGGATTCGAGCACACTACTGGTTCGACTAAGAGGGTCGGTGCTTCCTTGGTTTGTGTTTCCTAGAATGGTGATTTTTAGGCTTAAAGGTTTTTGTGTTTCAGGTTTCAGGCCTTTGTAGTTTCCCGGCTGCTTGCAAGAGTCCTGGATGCAAACTTTGTAGTGTTCTACAATCAGGGGTTTGAGGGTTTTAAGCTGAGTGGACTTTAGTTTAAGCTTTTAGGGTCTAGGCCTCTGGTTTGCACGAATCTCGGTGAGCTGATATGGCAGCTTGGGTCCGCGATCCCACCGCATCAGTGCACGCATGCTCGTCCGGTGTGCGAATCAGCCCGTGCGAATATCCGCCGCGAGTGAATCGGCCCCCCACAGCGAGAGTCGGTTTTTCCGGTGCACGAATCGGATTCTATTACGATAAGGCACGTGTCGGTCTCTACCCAATCCAGGGCTCTCAAAGCTACCTGTCTCCACAGCAGGGTGTGTTTCTTATTTCAGATTTGCCAAGTGCTCAGGCAAACCCTTTCGACGAAAATGAGGCGTTCCCTCGTGCGGATCGACACTTACTCTCCATCGTGATATTGGCAGCACTCCGTGCGCAGAAGTCGTGACCTAATTGTGCTGGCATTGATGTCATGTCGAGGCAAGAAGACGTGGCTTTGCACAGTATGCTGCAATCCGCGGTAGGTGCCTTGTCTGCAGATGCCTCTTCTGACAGGGGCTCCGTCTTCACTGCTTGGTGCACTTGCAAGTGAGCTCCAACACAACTTAGAGATACCTTTTTGCGCCAGGTAGTCCATCCCAGACATGGCTTTCTTTGGAAGGCTGATGAGTTTCTGAGATGCGTTGTTCGACTGGTCTAAGAGTCTAGACCTCTTCCAAGCCCTAGGGGACTTCTCATGTGTAGCATAGATAACTTAGGACTGCAGTATTACTTGCCGACACGAAATAGGTTGTTTACTGAGCAAGAGCAGCGACATCTGGAAGCTTGCGTAGTGTCATTCATACCAGCACTTCATTCCACGGCATCTCCGCTGATGTGTTCTTAAGGAATCCCGCTCCCCGACCCCTTCCCGCAAGCAAAAGAAAGGCCAAGCTTTGCGTGCTGTCGACTTGCCAGTCCTTCCAGACTGCACAGCGGTTGGCAACTGGGACGGTTGCTTTTCTTGCCAAAGCAGGGCTTGGGGATCCGTTTTGGCTCCGCAAGCATGGTAGTGACGGGCTGGGCTTGACTGTTGCCCTGGCCGGCCTGCAACCCAGCGTGTCAGTCAGACTACTCCTCCGGTGCAAGGCTCTTACAGATGGGAATCATAGGTCGTGCCGCATGAAGACAATGTTGATGGCGGAACGTTTGGGGTTGAAGGTTGGCCCTAGCCGTAGCCTGAACGAAGCAGATGGTCCCGAGACGCTGGTGGGCTCAGCTTCTCTGCCGAGGCCTTGCCGGTCAACACTGCGGCGACATGGGTGCCAGCTACTCAGTTCTAGGATCCTAGAATATCTAGAATCTAGAATTCTACTCTTTCTCGTCGCTACATCCCGAAAACTATTGCCAAGGTCGTGGACAGGACCGATGAGTTCAGGCAGACCATCTTCAGCGCAGTTGACATGGCTTGAAGTCCAGTGTTTCAACACATAGCATGCTGGTGTTGCTGGGTTCTCTAGTTGCGACTTAACCTTGCACCTGAGCAGGCAAATCCTGCGAGACGTCGCTGCCAAGAGCGGAACGACAGGCATTGGCTGCATGGGTCCTCGTGACTGTGAGAAGCCAGCCTCAGTGCTATGCAAGCTTGGAAAGCTCTCTTGGCAGCTGATGTGAAGGTTCAGGGTTCTTCGGAGATGGTGGATGCAGGACGCAAGGTAGTTACCGTTGCTGAAGGCCTGAACTTGGAGATGACACCTCATGCTCAGCCCGGTGCTAAGTTCTCGCCTGAGGTGTGTTGGATGTGCGCTGTTTGCAAGGTCAGAACTGAACCGGTGGTCCGCTGAAATTGGCGGAGAAATCCACGACGCCTCCCTCAAGGTGGCCGAGCTGAGGCAAGCGCTGCAATCAGCGGTTCGTGCATCTCAGGCTGCATGTAAAACTGCGACTGCAGGAAGATGTCCAAGCAGAAGGGCATCTTCAACGACAAGACCAACCAAATCCAGGACCGAAGCAAGCCGTCATGCCAATATACCCGCCCGAGGCCATCCGAGGGGAACACACAGATCCAGATCCTAGGTCCTAAACGCTAGAGGAATGGATTGAAAGGTTTGTCGTCTGTCCATGAGAGGTTCACCAGAGTGCTCCCCCTGTCAATCCCATGCATCGAATGATTGGAAGCTGCTGTAAGGAGCTGACCCACACCGTGAAGCAGAGCATTCAGCTGCTAAATCAAAAGATCGAAGCGCTGGAGATGAAAACAAAGGGCTCTGGGCCAGGGCCCCAGCGGCCCCAATAGCCCCAGCATAGCCCCATAGCCCGGTGCAGTTCGTGAAAGGGTTTGCATCATTGCCAAATTATGCCCTGTCATACATATTCAAATTGCATGCATCAGTACAGTGACGGCAGTTTCCCGCATTCTTTTGCAATTAAAGCAGCCAGCTGTACCACCGATCCTTGTCCAAGCGCTAGACTTACCGTACGATTTTGTGGCCTTCCTGTCCCGCCTTCTGCGACCGAGTATTGTTCAATCGCCAAGGCCTTCCCGCTCCAAGCTCTGGCACGCAACAAATCTGAGGCCGAACAAGAGCTACCAAGCGCACTCTTCCGCATTGGTGGATGCGCTCAAGACGAGGCCTGGTTTACGGGTGGAGGAGAGAAACCCTATATAGGCCCTATGCTGTCCCGCCATCGAAGCTGTCCCCGATGCACCAAGATGGGGCGAAGTTGCTTTCCAACCTCAAGGCTTCAAGCGAGGTTTTTCATGGGCACTGTCATGACAAGTCTCGAAATGCAGACAGAGCTACAGATGTTGGAACCACGTCATGTGGTGGAGTGGAGTACGTAGAGCTCGAGGAGAGAGAGCAAATTCTTGAGGTGCATGAAACTCCAACATTCTGCATACTGAATTCTATCTCCCTAAAACCTCGCACGCAGTGCAGTATGTCAACCCGGCAAGGGGCCGGGACATGGCTGCCTTGCTTCATCTAAGGCTTCTAAGCTCTGAGCTTGGTGCGTCCTGTTGAATTCTTTCGCCTTGGTCTGGGTGGTTCGGTCCAGTTTCAGTCCCTTGCATACTGGGAGGCTGCTGCAAGTGACCAAAGAGTTTAAAGATGCCTTGGAGGACCCAATGTGCAAAGTAAGTCAGCAAGATGTGCCGAGGAAGACACTTTGAAAGCCTTTGGCCTGTCAGGACCGCACGAAGGCTTTGGAGCAGCAGGATGCCTTGTTGTCTCCACCGCCTCTTCTGTCCCGATCGTTTTCAGAACTCTCTAGGGAGTCAATCTTGGCAGAAGCCTAAGATTTGGGTCAAACTCACTATCGTCTTCTAGCACAGCAGAAGAGCCAAGATGCTGGTTCAAGCCTCCATCACAGAGTATTTCATTTCAAGCCAAGCACGTGCTTTGTCCCGAAATGGGAATGGACAAAGAGGGCCGAGCCGCGTGTTGCCAGGACAAAAGGAGACAGATGTACACCTCTGGGGCGGGCTTCGATGCCGGTCGGCAGAGGCTTAGTCGGGTCGTAGATGTTGCAGCCATTGCTGCCGAGCCGTGCGCTTGAATCCTCCAAGCTGTCGGAGGCCGACACCAGCTGGCAACCCAGAAGACTTGGAAGGCGGCGGTGGTGCACGTGCGATGTCGATGCAGCAAGGCACGGAGGAAGTACTGTAGACCTTGAAGACATCTTACCCTCGTGCTGTGTGGTTCAGCTTCAATGCATGAAGGTTACCACAACTCCAGGGCAGAGGCGGTGCAAAGTGTTCAGAAGACCATCGGCGAGTTGGCACAAATGTTTCAGAAGACACTCGCCTCGCAACGAGCCACGAGGGACTGACTCCCAGGCTTGAGGCGACCGAGTTCACTGTTGTGTTGCAGTACTTCAGGATGGCCGTAATGGTGACTGCTCAAGAAGAGATGATCCAGCGGATCGACAGTGACCTGGACGATACCCTGGACAACACAAAGAAAGCGCAGGCTCGCTTCGCGTTTCACATACAGCTTGTCAAAAACAATCCCGTCAGTGCTGCCTTGATCAGGACAACTTGCTTGAGTATTTCCACTACATATCCTCGAACCGTGCCTGGTTTGCATGACAGTTTGAGGCAGGTTGTCGCCGTGGCACTTGCGCCGAGGTGCTCTCATCATCAAGGTCTTCCTGATTCTGATATTTTTCGTGATTTTCTTTGTGGTGTTTTTGGCATGAGTTATTGCAAGGTGCTGCCCATGTACTGGTGGCAGTGGGGTATAGCAGTATCAAGTGGAATGGAGTACTGGTACTTAAGACCCGCACTCCAAGTTATTTTGAAATCTTCAGACATGGCCACATTGGGTCAGCACTGCTCAGTCTGACCCCAGCTAGGATCCGCATGGCTCGTGCAGTGCCCTGTGTGTCCTTTTGCAGTCAGCGATGAGCATTAAGCGTCGTGTGGCAAAGAGTAAGCAAAGAGTAACGTTATTTAAGCGCCCTTCTGTTACGGGCAGACATTCTGCACCGCCGACTGCATCCTCCGGGCACTCCAAAGGAGTGTTGGGCCGACTTGCAAAGCTGTTACGAACTCCTGATCCGCCGTGGTCGCAAGTAAGTCACCCTGAACTGCACCAAGCTATGATGTCAACCATCGCAAAATGAAGTGGAAGCTCTGTGCCCATGCGGCCTAACTCTCTCGGGTGCCCTGAACACCAGAGATCGGTGTCAACAAAAACGAGAGCGCGACTAGGCTTGCGAAATCCTTGCCAAGCTGCCAAGAAATGCCACATTGCCCCTATCAGTCTAACATGGCTCAGGCGGGGGAAGCTATGCATGCTTACTTCAAAGCGGCATTCTTGTGGCAATGGTTGCCGAACATGCACATCTACCGCGTGCAGATAGCTACGTGTACACGGTTCAGCATGGTTCAAAGATGTTTCAACGATAGCCATGAGCTTGGAACTTGACACGTGAAACGCCCATTCGGCTTCTGGCATGGGCTTCTTCTGTTGCTTGGTCCGAGCCTGAACGTGGTCCTTGCAATGAATGCGCCGAAGTTATGCGCTCCCGCTCGCCTACGAGGAGTTGTCAGTCAGAGTCCGTGATCATGTTGAGTTCCGGTGAGTCACAGGAAGACAGAATCTGGCGGCGTATTCTTCTGGCGAATCAATCAGGTTTCGCCTGCACGCCATGTACATGCAATGTGCAGCATGAAGCCCTCAGAGCCGTCAGGCACAGTACAGCGGAGCCGGAGCTTGCGCCGAGAAGATCGTGTTATCAGTTCTGGAGAAATTCGGACTTTGCCGATCTAGTGAAGCAGCAGGCCTGTCGAATCTCTTGGGGTGCCGGTCATTGCAGTTCCCCAGCACGCCTTGTGAAATTCTGGGACTGGTTGCTGTTTCTCTCGCTGGCTTTGCGAGCTATTTTCCTTTGCAGGCCGAGAGGCAGAAATGCACAAGGCATGCACACCATTTCCGTACTTGCTGCTGCTTGTTGTTGCTGGTTGTGCCCATTTTTATGCAGTGTTACGAGCTGTTTCTTTTGGTGCTCGTGTCCACCCCTGGACGATGAAGGAAGGTACTGCAGGAGTTCTTCCAAGTCCAGGTCTTTGTGTTCTGACGGAATTGGGAGAGTTGATTCGACGGTGGTGATCCGTTAGTGCATGGTTGGCTGAAGGAATCTGAGCCGACCTTGCTACGAAATCCAAGACTTTTCCGGGATCTGGGCATTCATTTGACGTTTGCTTTTCGCATCGCGCTTGAAACGATGTCATAGCTGCTTTGGCTTGCGCTATACTATGCAGCTCCCTGGTGCAGGGCTCCCGGACCGCCCTTCGTATTGCCGTTCGCGAGGATCCTGTCTCGGATGGCTCTTTGACGTCTGATTATGCACAGCAGAAGACCGGACCTTGAATACATTATAATGCGTTGTTACATTAGGAGTATAAGTGAACACGTGCTTGTGTTGTAATGCAGTGTGTAACTTGGAGTTGTTCCGGGTTCTTTCAATGCAGCTTAAATGCTCAGTCATATTGTTTGCAAACCCAGGCCCCAGAGCAAGCTGCTCACTACGATTATTTGTGTTAATTAGTACCACCATTACTACTATGACGATTATGGCTACTATCACTACTATTGCCGTTTCCTTTCTCGTTTGTTTCTGGTGATGGTGTGTAGTGAGGTTGGCTCCTTGGACCCGTTGACTCTTGAGACCCCGCAGTGTTGTCACAGGTGGCAAGAGCTACTCTTGCTTTTGTCATTGGCTATCATCAGTCTTGTTAATCGAACATGATCACGGTCTTCAGTACAACTTCTATTGTTGCTAGTATTCCTTCTATAGTTATGCTTATCTTACAGCTGCTGTTGCTGTTACTGATATTGTTGATGTTGTTGTTGCTATCGTTGCTGTTATTGTTGCTGGTATCGTTTTCTTTTTTTTTTTGTTGTGGTTGTGGTTGTGGTTGTGGTTGTGGTTGTGGTTGTGGTTGTGGTTGTGGTTGTTGTTGTTGTTGTTGTTGTTGTTGTTGTTGTTGTTGTTGTTGTTGTTGTTTTTTTCTTTTTTTTTTTTTGTT